CGATTGAGAAGTGAAGTTGAAGTCTCGAAGAAATCCGGGGAAGAAGTTTAAGAAGGTTTAGGAGCTACCCCAGTAGTAATAGGAGTTGTCGCAAAAAGTCGGGTTCTAGAATGTGAGACATGACAATCTGAGCATCAAAAGATAATTTGGAGTATCCAAATCTCCATGAATCTTCTCAAATAAATTACCCAACCTTAAGCATAAAAACACATCCCAATAATCTATATTATGTCCAAACCCTTCACGAAACCAAATCACTTCAGAATTTCCAATTCGAATCACTTCATAAACTTCTCTTTCTCAAGGTCACATCGGTCTTCAAATTCGCCTAATATGAAAAATCCAAAATTTTTGAATTCTCATATTCAAATCTCTCCCCCCCCCCCCTTTTCTAAGTGAAATATGGTTATAAACCGAAAAAGGAATGACAAGGCGCTCAATTTGGAATTTTCCATACCAAAACTCCCCCTTGAGATGAGGCGTAAACATTTTGCACATATCCGTAAAATTGACAAATAAAAATTCACTTCTAGTCGAAAAGTGATCTTCTCGGATTGCCTTAGACCAAAAATGAACAAAATAGTTCATATTGATAAAAAATACTTGCACAAATGACCACTTTTTGAAAATCCCCCAAAAAGATCTTCAATATTTGACAAGTTTTTTTCTGGGAAGAAAGAATCATTTTACTGAAATTGCAGGGACCAATTATGAAATATTGGTAGCATCTTTGCCTTTGTTCAAGTTGCAGTTTAGACACAAACGCACACAGCAAAGTCGAAACCTTCAGTTTTGACTCCAAACCATTCACTTAACTTTCGACTCTAACCTTTAACTTTCTTTCCAGTCAAATTGTTTCCCTTAACCTCTTTGTTGTTCTTGAACTTCGGATTGAAAAGCTTCTTGAAGAATTTATTCACGTTGTTGTTTGAGTTCTAAGAAACCGCTTCATCATCATGGTTGAACAGAAAATCCTCTTCCTCAAGTTTATCTTCTTTAGCAGATTCAACTTCAAATTCCTTGGCATTCACTTTCGACATTAGTGTCAATGGTCCTCCCAAACTTAACTTTCCCACTTTAGCAATTTGAATTCTTTCACTTTCATGAGGTTTCAGAACATTATACAAAATTTCCAATGAATAAACATCGAATCTTTCTTGAGTTTTGATCATTAAACTAATGTTTCTCCACTCCTTCCCCAATCCCATCAGAAAAGTAAGATTGAACTCCATGGTTGAACGAGTCACTCCGTATCGAGAACATTTGAATATCAGGTCATTCAATCAATCATAGTAAGGCTCGATTGATTTGTTTTCCTTGTGCTTGAACTCACCCAATCCGAAAAACCCTTGCTTCACTGAACATTTCTTCATCTTCCCATTTCCTTGATACTTTCCCTTCAATGTATCCCATTTATCCTTTTCAGTTTTACAACTTCGGACGTAATTATGAACTATTAGTGGAAGAGCACCACGTAGTTCACGTAGATATTTCTTAGCATTCGCCTTCATCTTATTTCCTTGAGTGATCATATCTTTACTTGTAGCAGCAGAACCAATGTTGACTAACATCACCGGATTAAATTCACCTTTGTTGATAGATCTCATCAGATCTTCATCGATTCCATTAAGCTAATCTTCCATCCTATCAACCCACTGCTCATAGTACTCCGGTATCAGCATCAAAATCTTAGTTGATGATCCGAGCAAGTGAGAGAAGTTTGTCATTGTGTTTATATTAAATTTCATCATTGTTGTACGAAATTTTCGAAAAGGGAGGAGTTGTGAATTTCAAAGTGAGATTTAAGAAGGAAATCAAACAAATATTGGTTAGAAATTAATCGATCTTACACAAAGAGTGCAAAATCTATTCAAAACAATCGATCAAGTCAATTTTCCTTATTCAGATTGCGGAAGTTTTTGAATTGAAAATGGCGATTCAAAAAAATGAAAAAACGAGAAAAACCGAAATCAATTTGATGAATCATGCTCTGATACCAAATGTAGTAAATTATGAGCATTTGATTTGATATGCGGAATTATAAGAACACAATCGACATGGTGATTTGGGTGCTAAAAGATGTATTCGATCATACTAATGAGTTACAAAACGGGATCTTGATCTAGTTCTACATAAGGATCCCAATCAATAATCACAATGAACTACATCTCTCAAGCACACTCTACTAGTGACATGCAACCCACTATTTATAAAGGTGTTAACAAGTCTCTATCTCTCTCTCTTACACACACACACATGTCACAAGGCTCTAATTCCACATGTGCAAGTGGGTCTTCTCAAGCCAAGCCTTCACTAGTCATCCAATGGAGAACTTTGAACCCAACATGTGTATTCTGATGTTTGGGGTCCTGTAGAAGTGATTAATCGAGTGTATGAAAGATATCATAGTAATCAAAGTATATGAACACCGAGAAGTAAATAATATTTTGTTTCAGCTTAATTTATACTTTCAAAATACACAAAGAGTATTAGACAGAAAATACATGCCAAAGTTCTACCTATCTCAGAGTACATCTCCTATTTATAGGAGAACTGAAAGTACACAAAAAATACTAAGGACGCGACATTCAGACTTCGATACTAAAAATGCCTTAGTAAATAGATTACAAAACTATCGAAACTAACTCAACAAACTTCGACGCATTACAAAAAATTTGACTCAACATTCTCCCCCTTTGTAATCAATGTCGAATGTTAGTTTGTGAGAATTTAAGCAACAAAATGCATCATCCTTCGAATTTCGGTATACCAGCTCATCACCTTCTTTAATTCAGCTTTATCTCCTTCGGTGTTCTTTTTACAGTTGTTCATATGAACAATAAAGTTTGTATACTTAGTTGTTGTATACCTTTCCACTTCCGAATCTTGAAATAAAAATCTCTTCGCTTTTCCCTTGTCTTTTCCCGTAAAGACTAACCCCAATGGCTTTAGACAAATTTCTACATCAGCAAACTTCTTAAGTTCAGCTTGTGGCTTCACAACTTCCATATCCACTTTTACTTCTTTTCCCAATGCAAAAGATAGTTCTATATCAGTCAAGGGTAGACAATCATAGTAATTGTCTATGAAAATTTTGATACGACCAAGCCCAACACTCAAAATTTCCTTGCTTGTTCCTTGTAGTTTCAAAGCATCCATATCCTTAAGAATTAATTCAACTTGCATAAGATCATTCAAGTTCATCAATAGGAAATCAGCAACAGAAAAATCACATGCCACATTGTTCGCTCTGACCATATGAAACCGAAAATTTTGGATTATGTCTTCAAACATAACATCCTTTTTCACGCTTATCACTCGAACTATCTTGATAAGAGACCATACCTCCTCCTGATCTTTTCCAACCACAACATGAAACCTTAATTTCACATGAGGAAAATCATCTTCATTCTGAAACTTCTCAATTATTTTGTATTGTGTTGTGATGAACATCATTTCATTTACCGGAAAATCAAGCTGATTCATATCAGTATTTTCGATAGAATAGCTTCTTTTTCGCTTCTTTTCGAATGCATACTTGTGGTTGTATGATAATTTCGCTTCGATATTTTCATAGCTGTGAAGTTTCCTTGGATCACCTTTATCCATTGTTGGTGGATCATTTTTGCGAAGCCTCAGAATACTGTGTATTTGTCTTTGCTTTTCCATTTCCGCTTCAATTTCTGCCATCTTCTCATCTTTCAACTTTTCAGCAACAATCCCCTTTCCCTTATCTCTATTAGCTTCATTTGTTTTTGGTTTCAAAGACCTTGAACCCCCTCCAACAACTTCTGAAACAATAACAATCCCCTTCTGAATAGGTCTTGTTGTTGTTTCCATTTCCATTACTGTAGTGACTTTCGGAACAATGGGAATTGGGATTTGAGTTGAAATCTCCTTGCCAACTGTTTTTGCTTTCTCCTATCCTCCTTTGCTTACTTTCCCTTCTTTACCAACAAACTCCTTTTCTCCCCACTTGCACCCCTATGACAACAGGTGGGGCACCAGTTGGTAAGATATTTGCAAATTTTATTAGAGGAGCCACTGCTTTTGTTATTGTTGCTTCAAGATAATTAAATTTCTGAGTTAAAAACTTAGGAGTGAAAATAGAAGTTGTATTAGGATTTGACACAATTTCCTTCTATTATATAAGTAAGACTCCGAGATTTTCAAAATTCATAACATCTTCACTCGCCTTTGCTTCATTCTTAGAAATTTAGGACTGATAGTATTCCACAACTTTCATAGCAGCCCCAACAATGATATCAACTTTCAAATGAAGAGAAGAGTAATTGGTACTCAACTCGTGGATTTCTTTCAAAACATCAACATTCATTTCCTCAAGCTTGCGATTCACATCCTCTCGCACAGTCTTAACATCTTTAACAAATAGAACATGACGTTCTTTTGCTACCATCCTCAGATCTTTGATTTCCCCATTCAATGAGTCAGCTTGAGCCTTGACTCTGAGCTCATTGTTTTTATCTAAGAGATCCATATTTTCTTGAATTCCTAACTCTTGTGTCTTGAGCATTACATATACCTCTATACCCGAAACAGAATGTTTTGCCCCTGATTCAGCTTGGGATTGAAGAATAGAGTTGAGTTTGTGATTAAGTATCTTGAACTATTTGCCAGACATTAGCATATGATCTGAAATGTTTTCTTCCTCATAATTAAATTCTAAGTCCACAAATACACCTCTGAAACCACCTCCATCAGTTTCATCATCGGAAGTAGGCTTTGGTGGATAAGTGGATTAAGATGTAAACAAAGTAGTGAAGGGTTGTTGTAAAATGGTTTCGAAAGTAGGTGAAGTTGTGGTAGTGAGAACTTTCGAAATAAATGGTGGAAGTGAAGTGTTAACGACAGAAGTGGGTTCAACAGTAGATGAAGGGATTATACTTTCAGAAATAACTAACATCGTGACATCCTAACCCATATTGACATTTTCACCCGTATCAAATACGTTTACAAGAATGCCTAAAGTTGGAACCTCCTCAGTACGTAACTGAATTACTTATCACAACTTCGGATGGAATTACAACAAATGTTATAGGAGTAGATGTCTTGATTGGTGAATTCGATCCCAAAGGTGTTTCTGGGACAATCTCACTGTCTGAAGATTCTTCGTGAATGACCAACTTCCTCTTTTTTCTCTTATCAGCTATATGTTTTGCAACATCTTTAGCTCTTCTTTTCTTTGATGATGGAGAAAATGGTGTTGGGGTTTCACGAACAAGGACTCCCTTCCTATTCAATAGTGCTTTTCGAACTAAAGAATAGTGATCATCAGATGATACTTTGGACTTGTGTGACAACTTCCTCAATCTTTTAAACACCCTTGATTTTGAAGGTATTATTTCCTTCGAAGAACCATTTTTAGTCACTTCAATTTGCTTGACCACTTTCTTCTTTACTTTTTCCTTATTATCAGGACGCTTTGTTGGTGATTTAGCCAAGATCTTCTTAGGACTTTCTTTCGAAGGAATTTCTTCAATTTCCTTCTTTGACTTATTGGATTTTTTGTAAGACCCCTCATCACTTCTTAGTAAAAGAACTCCAGTTTCCACTGAAGGATTAATCTTTTGTAAATACGCCACCAATATAGGATTCGACGGATCTATCTTTTTGAGCATAGCATCTGGAATTCTTGCAATGGTTGGAAATATCTCCACATCATCTTCAACTATCTTCAGAAAATGGTATGTCAAAAATTCTGCTTGCTTTTGGTTCATCAACTGGAACTTGAATTCCTTCTTTCTTATATGCATAACGTATGATCAAACTCCAATACCGAGCATACAAAACCCCTTGAACCACATTCGTGTTTTCTACGCTTTTAAGAAACTCCTTCCACATCCGCGAGGCATAATCCACATTCAGATCCTAGTATATTCTAGCCACCATAGCATACACTTCCATTCGATCCTTGTCAATCCTTACACTTCGACCAGTTAAGCATCGAAGGTAAATGCCAAAGAGAAAGTTCCAGATACATGGCATGCTTGATTTCTTGAAGTCACTGATCCTGGTAAGAGGTGGTTGATGACCCATCTCATTGAACATATGGATGACCTGAGCATTCGTAACCTTGTAGAAGGGTGGAGAATTATCGATTTCAACAATTTGAGTGAACAACTTCTCGGTGAGACAAATATTCTTGTCATTTACCAGATTGAAGGTAACAACATCCATAGACTTGCTATAAGTCGCAGTAGAACTCGCCATTGATAGTCCAAATTGTTGGGTTATGAGCATTCTAACACTCCTAAGTGTACATGCAACCCTAAATACCTTAGATCTATGTTTTCTCTATTATACATGCAAATATGAACATCCAAGGTATTATCCTAATCTAGCATACAAAACTATTAATATAACAAGATAGAATACATACCTCTTTGATAGTGCTTGTCTTCATGAAGCTTGAGTGCCTAGTGCCCCAAGTGTGACACCTCAAATGGTTCACACAACACCATAAGGACTTGGAATAACTTAGAGAGAATTCTACACTTCATGAAATCGGCTAGCCCTCTCTAGAATAATCTAGTGGTCGATTTTCCTCAAGAATAAGATGCTTATATAGTTATACAATTAGGGTAAACTCTAATTGTCATGACTTTCCATTTCCTTGGATCCATGGGTTCAAATACACCATGGAGCATCCATGGAGCATCATATGGGTTTTGGCCCAACTAGATAATCCATGGAGCATTAGCCCACTATATAAGTATGGATGATTTGCACAATCAACCCATATATTTAATTAGTCTTCTTTTGATCACTTAATTAATCCTAGATTAATTCTTGATCAATACTAATTAAATAATCTTATTATTCTTATTATTAATATACTAGAACTTATAATATATTAATAACCATAAGTGTCTTATTTCTCTCATTATAGTCTATCCAAGTGCATGATGCCATGCAACCCAAATGGACCATGCCGGGTCGGGTCAAGTCTTACCAATTATAGTTATGGACTTAGACATTAATCCAACAGTCTCCCACTTGGATAAGTCTAAAACTATTATTGCGTATGACTTCAGGAACCAACTGGCAATCGTAGCTCTCAAAAGCTTCTGTCGAACTCTGACCTTGTCGATAAACGCTGACCTTTGTCAATGACTTGTCCATTAGATAAGGGATCATATATTCCTCCATTCTAGATATCATATGGACTGAGACATGGATTATAATCATTCTCTCTGTCCATTTGTTGTTTCCCGATTTCCGATTTATGACGACTGACTAATTGAACAAATCAAATCAGTCCTGGCCCGGCCGAGCACTTCCATTTGTCATCATCAAATCATCGAGGGGCCCACAGATATCGCTTTTATCCCGAAGGTAAAAGGAATGGATAAACTTCGACTCATATGGCTTGTTCTACTACTTGTTGAATCATACACAAAGGCACGTTTTATAGCACCGAGTTACCAAATGCGGTTTCGTGCAATCAATGTACAACCAACTCATAGTAACAACTCATATCTCTAGGTTTGAAGAATATAAGATATTATCGTCTCATGATCACTCGTGATAAAATCCATGAAGTGATTCCAATGAGCGCGGGTTGAATCCAATACTCAGAACTTATGAGCACTCATGAGTGTTGTAGCCCTTTGTCCAAACCTTAGACCTCTACAAGCCAACCCATGACAGTCTTAATTCATATCTACTTCCAACATATGACCGACTGTGGATGGTTTGAATAACTTAGTCATTCCGGAAGAATAACCTAGTTTATTCGGGAAGTCAAAACATGCAAAGTGAAACACAATAATAATTGAATCCAATATGGTATCAAAACCTATGAACATAAATAAAACACCTTTTATTTATCACCATATGATTACACATTATTCATTGTATACTGTTTCAGCTATCAACTTTATTCTTGAATTTAAAACAATAGTTGTCCCATGCTCCAAGCATGTACACTATGTTTTTCTAAACACTAGTCATGCCACACACCAAGTATTTGTCTGTGATCTTTACTTTGTGAACTAGATCAATTGAACATAACTTCAATGATTCTCTTTTCACACTCCCAAATCCTTACTGCAAATGCAAGAATTCCAAATTCATGCCATTTACTGAAATCTGTTAGATTCTAAACTTATATGCATTGATCCTCTTGTAATGATTATGCACAAAGTCAGAAAGACTTGACAACAACCATTACAGAGCATTCCAAAGGAGATCAGCTCCTTGGAAACATCCTTCTTGCATTAAGTTTCCTAATCTTAACAGATTGAAAATTCTAACTTTGAAACATTTCCAGATTCCATTTTGACTATCACTTCTGAACAAGAGTTGCCTCCTTACAGATTATGTCAATATGGTCCTTCCAGAATTATCACTATACTTCCAACTGTCCTTGAGCAACCAATCTTTGGTAAACCTTAGATTGTCCTCGACAATTGTTTAATCCTTTTAGTCATATCCAGTTCTAAACCTTTTCCCTTCTTAATGCCCCAGGCATTTGGAAACTTTTAAAGGATAATATAGCACATGTAATCGATCCTATATCCGAAGCATATGGGACACGATTCATGATGTCTCACATAAAGACTAAACCAGTCTTTTGCTATAACATTTCCATTTCTATTTGCCAAGTTCTCATAATTCAGATTATGAAAAGGGATGCCGTAATCATAATCGAATTTTAGAACGCAAATAATGGACCCATATACAGAATTTCCTTATGTTGAGCCATTCCAACATGAAATTCATATATATCCTTGACTAAATGATTAAAACCTCACGATCTAAGCTTATAGATTTGAGATGAAGTATAATTTCCTCTCCCTTAATTATAGCAAAACAACTTTTCCCAATTGAAACCTTTTGTTTTCTATAATTAACATTGCTAACTTGCAATCTTATCATAATTATCATGCTCCCACTAACATGATGATTATTAGCATAACACTTATGCTCCCACTAGCTTTGACATGTACTCAGAAATCAACTGACTTTCTTACCAAAGTTCAGATTTCTGATACTAGATTGTTTTGATAAACTTTATCAAAAACATACACCTTCCCTTAGATAGCACACTTGTGTGTCTAAACAATTATGAAGAGGGATGCCGTAATCATAATGGTTAGACCTTTTTGCCACTTCTCACAAGTCCAGGTTAGTGTGCCGGTAAACCACACACGCTCCACTAACGACTTTGAGAATGCAAATATCACAATTGCTATCTAACTAAAATCTACTTAGTGAAAGTGTTTCCTCACCATCATTTTCATGAATCGGAGAGAAACCTTATGACACTTAGATTTAATGGTGTATGTGTTCTTATCCATGTGAATTGTCAAAACCATAGTCACAAGACAAGGATAATGACAAATCCAAACTCATATGGACTGAACTCAATCTTAACTTCTTGCCACCTGGCAGCTCAAGGGCCTGCCATTGCTTCCAAGTTGTTGTGCAACCAATTGAGAACTCTAAGAACTCATATGCAAAGCCAACTTTAACTGGAATGGGCACAGAATATGTCAACACGATAGGTTATAAACCTCAAGTCGTGTGCTAGTGAAGAACTTCAGGTTTTATTCTTGATTAGTTCTTGAGACTTTCAAGACCTTTAAGACTCCCACTGTCCTCTTGACCTATAAGACTCCTTGTCAAACATCCAAGAGATAGTGCGGATTCTAATCAAGACAAACACTTCACACAATTGGCCTAAGTTGGTCTTTGTTTTATCCAAAACATCACAACTTACCAATTTCAAATGTACAAGAGTAGAAAACTTTTACTCTTACATTTGACAGTGTTTTAAACCTTCTTAAGACATGTCACTCAAATTACAATCTTGGAGTATGACTCTAAGACTTGTATTGGAACGAAGTATGACTCATCTTCTTGATTTAACCATTTCAACAATTCAAGATCCCTTCTTCTTAGTCATAAGAATGCACTAAGACTTCCTTAGAGAACTAATTTTGATATGGTTTCTTAATCATTAAGATGATCACAAAACTGATACTAAAGTACTCTCCCATCTTTTCAGATTTGAGAAACTTTTATCCTTCTGCCTAATTTGATTCTTCTTATTCGCTCTGCCTTACATTGGAACCTTTTCCAATGTCTCAGAGTTACACTTAAGCTTGTAAGTATAATCATATTTACTGAGCTTTAGTAAACTATGACGAATAGCCTTATATCTTTTGTGGTGGACTTAATCAGTGCACATGACTATGTACTCGATCCCTTAGTCCATTACTTGACTCACACATCCATGTGAACAAGTAATTAGTCTTAATTTTTCCAATACTTGAAAGTTCTCATTCATCATGCTATACAACTTGCATGATTCCAAGTCCGGTCCAATTGAGACTTGGTGATGAGAATCTTTCCTTATTTGGTAAATTTAGACATTACCACAAATGAAAGAATCAATTTCATATTTCCACTCTTGCTATTAATGGAATCATATAAGCAACAATTTTTCCTCAAATGCCATTGTAAGGATATTTTAAAATAAATAAAATCAAAAATTTTCTTTTATTTTAAAACTATGCGGAAAAACTTATCCTTACAATCCATATGAAAACTTGTTGTTATCTATTCCTAAGCAATATCTCATAACTCCTAAGAAGTAGCTCAAGAATCCGAT